TCAAGCCAGTATTGTCTTTATTATGCACATGGAATTGGCTGTAATAATAACTCGCCTATCGTTAGTTTTCTTCAGCATACTCATTGGAGTCCTTATAACAGCAAAACGGCACATAGAGAAAAAAGTATTGCAAGATGAATATGAAAGTGATGACTCTTTGTAAATATCACTGGGAGTCCTCACATGCAGTCATTCTACACTGACAATCCTCATGTCCTCTGGCCATTCTGAGGGATTAACCTTGAAATAAACTCACATCTTAATAAAGACAGTAAACGCTGTTACTTGCAACATATTTTATGATGTGGTCATGTTTTTTCACTTTTGCAGGTGAGCCAGAAAAATCTCAGATTCAATAAGAGCAACTGGGCTTACTAAAATTCATGTTTAAGGTATTCAAGAAGCACCTGTAGCAACATTTATCTGCTTTAGTGCACACTCAGTTTATCTTTTTATTGCTACTGTTGAACAACAAGCATAAGCAACATTTGTTTGTGACACAGAATGAAGAACGTTTTCTTGACATAGGCATATTAAATTTCAATATAGACTCTCCCAACAGTTCTGGTTATCTCACATGCGCTGTAAGTAAATAAGTGAGTGGTTACCTTAATTGCTGGACCAAGAAGTGCCAGGAATGGGCTATCTCCAGCTGTGCTAGGTAGGGAATGTATGTTATTGCCCCCTCCCAGCCCTCCACCTTGCAGGCTATTGTGAATTGCTCCTATCAAAACTCTGTGAATTTGTTATTCGGGTATTGGTCCCAGACGGCCAATCAACAGACATGCTGGTCAGCTGATTGCCTTCTCTCAACAAATTACCCAAGCTCAGACATGCTGAGCTTTAATAAACCTCCCATGTGCACCTGCATAGACTTCAGATTCCTAATGATTTCTGGGGATCTCAAAATGTGGGCAAATAAAAGAAAAAATTTTTTTCACGGAAAAAGATTACAATGGAGATATGGTTACCAAGGGTTCTGGAGCCTGCAAGGGCGATGAGACAATGGTCCAGAGCAGGTGGGATGAAGGCAGGGGTAATCGTGGTAGTGCCCATGCTTGTGAATCCTGTCCCAGTGGACAGCAGGGCCACTCTGAAATGACCACGTGCAGGGTCAGACAAGACTTTCCCCAGCTGACATATACTTTGGGCACAGGCTAGATAAGGGAGAAGGGGGCAAGTCTCTTTCTCTCTAGTCTGTATATTGTCTCTTTGTTGCTCAGATGGGATCCCAGAATTCATGAGTGGACTCCCAGACTCCTCTTAGTTGTATCCTTAAAAATTCAGACTTACTTGGCTCCCAGATCGTGAGCAAAAAGGACTTAATCTTTTTCTACATGAAGGTCTGGCTCAAATACTTTCTTGATAATGGTGAAACTTGGCCTTCCACAGGGAGTTTTACCATACTATCTCAGAATTGGACCATTATTGTAGACATTGGGGAAGGTGGATAGAAATTTCTCATATCTGGATATTTCTCCATCTCTGGGATCACCTTAAGAATGATAGAATAGACAAAAACCTTATTTCAGGCAAATGGGGAGTTGGTACTTTCTGATTCAAAGAAGGTGGTAATTTGCAAGTAAATAAAGATTCTCAACAGCACTTACTGAAGAGACCAACTCTTTTCCCTTGGATTATTTTATGTTCTGTTGCAGAGTAGATGCCTGTACATGTGTGGACTCTCGTGTTTCTGTTCTGGTCCAATGATCTTCCACTCTTTTTCTGTACCAGTACTAGGCTGTTTTGATTACTACTGCCATATAACATGTCCTAAGGTCTGGAATTGTGGCTGAACCTTCCAGTTAGATTCCTATTCTTCAAGACAGTTTGGCATTCATGATCTCTTGCATTTCTAGATGTGGGGAGCGGGGTGCTGAAGCTGCTCCTGGGATTGGGAGGGGCTGTCTCAAGATTGTGGCTGGCCCAGGGCCAGGAGGCGGAATTGGTCTCACCAGCAGGTAAACAGGAAGTCACAGGGATAGGCTGATGCCCTCGCTGCGATTATGTCATTGCTACTGGCCTGTCAGGTAGTGCCAAGTGGACCCATGGGGAGAAGTGATTGGTGGAGAATGGTATAAAAGCAGTCAGTAAAAGCTAAGGAAGGGGACGAGGAGGAGAAAGACAGAAGAGCGATGGAAGGAACGGAAGAACAGGGCAGCGGAGAGAGGGAAGAAAAGGAGAGAGGGGATAAAGCAGAAAGGGGTATAACCGCAGCCGTTTTTGGCAGTGAGGGGTCCGGTTGCGGTTCCGGCTTTTCCCAGACCCTCAAGAGTATGCCTTGTGATTTAGTGTCACTGCTGGTTGGCGACATCTAGATGAATTTTTGTATCATTTTTTCCAGCTCTGTGAAGAATGTTCTTGGGATTTTAATTGGTATCACATTGAATCTGTGTATTACTTTTGGTAATACTCAGGCAACTACAATTTCACCTACCATATGACCCAGGAATCCCACTCCTGCAAATATATGTGAAAGAACAGATACATACACATGAGAAAGCAATCTGCACCCTATATTAATTACAGCATAATCAATAATTGCAAAAATATGTAAACAACCCAACTTAATACTATGATCCACATCATCATGAAAAAAGTTTGTCCATTAAACGTCAAGATGTGACCAAGTCTCATTACCAGACTTCAGAAGAACACAACTCAACCCCTGTGAGCACCATCAAGCACATATGGTCTCCAAAAAGGTGTCATCTTGCTCTGGAAGGCTCAGAGTCATACATGAGCCCAGAAGAAAGCATGTAACCAGGAGCTTGGCTTTTCTTGTAAATGAGATAAAATGCCATAGCAGTTTGAGTAAGGACATGGAATAATCAAACTTACATTTTTATAGAAAGAAATCAGACTGCAAATCTTTACTTGTGCCTTACTATGGAATCTAGCTTTGACCTGAAGACTAACAAAAAAGCAGGAGTCACTCAACACAAACTGAATTCTAGAAACAATTGGGAACATGTGGAGAATGAATTTAATGCTATAATATAATACTATAGTTGACGATCTCTTAAGAGGTTCCTAAAACAATGCAGTGAGATTTCAACGATATGAACTAGAGAAATCAGTCTAAGAATGAAGAGAAAGAAATAGTTTTGCCACTAACATACAAAATTTTTTAAAAAGTACTAAAATAAGGATTTTTTAAAGAAAGAAAGGAGTCTGGGATAGCACTCAGATTTTTCATGTAAGTCACTACAATACAGGGACATTATTAAATTATACACAAAAAGTAACTAGGATAGATTTTTTCCTAAACATTCTAAATGAAAATATGAAGAATCTGGGACTGGGGTGATGGTGTATCAGGCAAATCCTCCACTTCTAGGGCCAGCATCCCATATGTGTAGCAGATCAGGTCTTGGCTGCTCTACTTCCAACCCAGCTCTGTGTTATGGCCTGGAAAAGCAGCAGGGGATGGCCCAAGGCTGTGGGTCTCTGCGCCTACATGGGATCATAGCTCCCCATCCACTACTACTACTGGGCAGGAGAGGGTCCTGGGTATGTGAGTGGCCACAGGGCCAATTAGCACTGGGCTTCACTCGCTGCCACCCAGCAGTGAGCTCCGGGGTCTTGAGGGTATGGAATTATTGCCTAGGGACATCCATGGACAAGACCACGGTAAATATGAGGAATGAATCCTGAGGACTCAACAACAGGGCAACTGTACTTACAGGTAAATGAAGGGACTGAGACCTGGTGGTTTGGAGTGGAGAGACTGGAAGATCTGTATGGGTCAGACTCATTCACCAGCCCACATGAGAATCTGGAGTTGGGCTTGCTAGCATGGAACATCACTGAGCACCACACGCCAGGCCACGCTACAGCTAGGGCTGGGAGCCTGTCTAGCAAGACTAGATCCCAGTACTTGACTGACCTAAAAATCATTGACCCTTAAACTGAAAGACCAGTTTAAGAAACATTACTTCTACCACTGGCTAATGGCCTCCCAATATCCATTTCTACTCCACCAAAATAAAACACATTCTAGGCCTCTCACAGTTAAACATAATGATGTAATACGTTTCTAATAAATGAGATAGAAGCACCATAATGAAATTTCCAGGAGATTGTCTTTTCACTCCCTTCTTAAAGTGTGAATATGACAGTTGAAGTTCTAAAACCATCTTAACCATCTTGGGCCATGAAGTGAAGGTCACATTCCAGGGATGAGGATTGAATGGGGACAGAAAGGAATTTGGCTCTATGGTGACTGAGGAACTTATCTATCAGTCCTGGACAAACTAACTTTAGTTGTTTAGTGTGAGAAAAATAATCTTCCATCTTAGTCTATTACATATAGTTAATTGTATATCTCTGTTCTAACCTTCCTTCCTTAGCCTATTTTTCCCAGTGCCATCAATTGGTAGACTCTGTTCCATGCTCTCAAATTTGCATGATTATTTGCATACAATTCTTTCTTAAATGAGGATTGTCTCAGAAACAACCAAGGAATCTTTTTCTTAAGGTCCCAGGAATCAATTTTTTCAATTGGTAATATCAGGAAGATAGCGCACCGGTCTCCTATTATTAAGCTGTTCACTCCAAATTCCAAGTACTTGTTTGTCATTTTTCCTTCGGTAACTTGCATTAATTGACACCGAAGGCCATCCCAAAAGTAAACTACCAGAGAATGAACAGCAAATGGTGTTACGAAGTTTTTCTGGGTGAGGACAAACATGCTATGGATTGTATCTGCTTAGCTTAGGTGAGATTCTTATCCTTGCAATTTCACTCATGGATGGCCTGTGACATCCCCTACCCCCGTTCTAGTTTAAAAGTCTCTTGGCCATTTCCGTGGAGCCTTTCCTAGATGACAATTTTTCTCTGGGATTTTTGTTTTTCCTCAGAAATGTCCATTTCTACCTTCAGCAACCTCCGTTTCGCCTCGGCTCGGCTCCTCCTCATCCTTTGGTCGGTCGCTCACATTGCAGCCGGCTCATCTCACAAGCTCGCTGGGAGAACCCAACGGTCGGTGTGGAGAACCACAACTCCCAGCAGGCTGAGCGCCTCCAGCGTCGCGCACTTCCGCTTCCGGCTGGGAAGTCAGCGCAGAGCTTGACTCACCTTCACCTGGGGCGACTCCCGCCGATCCCCGGAGGAAGCCATGAACGAAAGAGGGACTTATTTGGTTACCGAGGAAGAGATTCATCTTACGAGAGGGCCCTCAGGTACACGCAGAACGAGTCCTTGGTGGGAGGAGGGGACATGGCTGGGCGGACACTCGTTTCGGTGCCCCCGGAGCAGGCCGGCGGAGGTGACCGTCCTGCGGGAAAGAATCCTGAGCGGTCCGTGGGTGACGAGGAATGTTCCCTCTCTGATTTCTTCCTGCCGAGTGGTGTTAGCAAACCCTAGCAGAAGCCCTGCCTCGAGCTAGTCTTGTCTGTACGCCACACTCTTCTTACCGTTACCCTTGGGAGGAACTTTTGGTAAAATGGGACTCTGCCGGCCCCTGCTATCCTTTCGTTTCTGAGAATTTAATCCATTATGTCAAAATAAGACGACCAACTCTAGAGATGTTCTCTAGAAGTTTCCAGACTTGTTGCTGCTGCTACCAAATTATCAGGGTTTTTTGTTTTCGTGTTTGCTTTTTCATGCTAGCAGCAAACTGAAATGCTGATTTCTTCCCTCTACTCTCTAGAGATTTGGATTCAATCTGGATTTTTTTTTTTTTTTTTTTAACAATCGCATGATTCTGATTCAGTCAGATCCTCACAACCACGTCCCCCGTCCCCAACCCTGCACTACTAGCCTGGGCTGTCATTGACTACATACTGCCTTCTTTGGACTTTGTTAGTTTTAACCCCAAATCTGTTTTTCTGTACCTTTCACCCATTGGTTCCTCTCATAAGGCCAGTTAGAAACCATTCTAGTTACTCTTCTGCCTGTTCTACACATATTTTTTTTTAAATTTTTATTTGTGTCAAGTGAACAGATTTCATGTATTTCATATGTACGGATGAATGATGAACATGCGGATGAAGTACATGAATATTTCATATATACGGCGCGGCTTCCCACCCTCCTCTCCTTTCTGCCTGCACTGCTGCCTCCCTCCGCCTCCCTGTGTTTGTTGTTGTTGTTGATGGTTATGGTGACAGACTTTCAGCTTATTTTAGAAGCACAGGCTTAACGCCTCACAAGGTAAAGAATCCAGCAAATAGTACGTAGGAAGAAAAGACAGCATTCCTCAGAAATGTAGACAAAGGCCCGAAACACTAATTGAATCTCAAAATGCCAGTCTCACTCCTAATTTTTTTTTTTTTTTTTTGGTTTTGTTTTGTTTCTTTGGACTCTCTATACTAGGCATGTATCTCTGCTCCTGTTTTACCAGTTCCTTCTCGAGTCTATCCTGCTGTGACACTACTTTTTGCGATGTTTGAGTTCGTGTGGTACCTGTGGTGTTTCAGGGAATCTCCTGGCTAAAGCCAAGCAGAGCCCTGCTGTTGTCTGTCTTGTTCTGGGAACTGAATAATTGAGAATTCAGCATAATATCACTTCAGTATTTTCAGCATTTGCACAGTCCTCTTGCCTAAGGTTCACCACTCACCACAGCTTCTGAGTGTGTCTGTCCTGCTGATTTAGTGTTTCCAGTATTTTCATTTTTCAGAAGCATTGAAGTTAGGGCAAACCTCAAGGGATTAATCAAAAGGAATTCTATCTAATGAATATATTTCACTTTCATCCAAAAGTGATTTAGTTTCGCAGTTGTGTGAGGGTTTATTCGCAGACAGATTTCTTGTATTTTCCTAAATATCTTATCTTAATCGTAGTTAAGGAATTTACAAGGTGTGTCAAATTACAATCTTAGGACTGAATGTGGATAAAAACAGTCATTTGAAATTGGTTTATTCCGTCAGAAGATGGAGATTGAGCAGGAGTCTCTTGCTTCCCAGAGCTCTGTAGTGGTTGGTGGGTGGTAGCTCTGTCTCAGATGTAGCCTGGCTCTTCTTCCCGATGCTGTCATGGAGCTAAGCCAAAGAAAAAGAAGCCAGTCGCCATCATTACTGTCTATGTCATTTTGGTAGTCCCCTAGGAAACTTTCCTTCCGTAGGAAGAATATGAAAAACTTGTGACTGCAAATATGCACTTTTGTTCTGCAGGCAGCCTGGTTATTCTTTTATACTCTAAGACCTCATTATTTAGTGAAGTTAACTGCAAGAAAGCATGGAGTATTCATCTTTTGTGCCAGAGTTTTGGGATAGTTCCACTGTTTTGGTCCATTTTGCAAGACACATTAATCTATTCCATCTGATCCTGCTTACTACAAGAGAAATAATGAAATCTTGCCAAGATTATAACGAATAACTGAGGTGGCAAAACGAAGCTCGGCGCGTAGATTGCCCTCTCATTTGTGTCTGCTTTCTCCGCTGTGGAAGGCGAGGCTGGGGCCTAGTACTCTCAAGGGCTCTTATGTTTCCAAGCTCATGATTCCCTGGCCCAGTCCCTGTGTGATCCTGTGATTCTCACCATTCTGGATCAATTAGATAATCTAAAGACTTGGCGAAGACAATGATAACAGTATCAAATGCTTCAAGAGTTGAATACTTCACTTTTCATTATTTGCGGAAATCTCTCTTATGGAGTGCAGGTTGATTTTATTCTCTGAGACTCCCACTTTTTTTTTCCCTTTTTTATGCTGAGAATTTTTCATGTTGGAAAGAATATGTTACTCTAAGAAGTATCAGAATCCTCTATTCTAGCTTTCCTTCATGTTGATAGATGTGGATGGGATCATACAAGGCGTATCTACAGCTTGTGGGAACTAAAATTAAGATTCTTGTTTTCACGCCTAAAGGCTCAGTGGGTTTCAGTGAGGTGTTGAAGAGAACCTGTTTTCTTGCTCTCTTAAAGGCCTTGCATAAAATGAAGGTTTGGCACAGTGTTTTCGCAATAGATAGCTAAACATTTGATACTGTACTAGCTTATGTCTGTATAGCTACATCTTCACAGTAATTCTCACTGATAGATGTTTAATTCCATTGTTAGAGAATTCTGTAAGTGAAATTAAGGATTTATCCCAGTTCTAAAGGCAGTACCTTTCAAAGGATTTGAGCCCAGGTCTGTGGAGTCTGCTGCACTATGTGCTCTTGCCCACTATAATAGCCACTCCAAGAAATTGCTAACCTTTCTCCTGACCTTTATTGAATTATTTCACTTTATTTCCAGAAGGATTTGAGCCATCTTTTTTAAAAATGTTTTATTTATTTATTTTTATTAGAAAGTCAGATATACTGAGAAGAGAAAAGACAGAGAAGAGAAAAGGCAGAGAAGAGGAACTTCCATCCGATGATTCATCCCCAAGTGACCGCAATGGCTGGAGCTGAGCCGATCTGAAACCAGGAGCATGGAACCTCCTCTGGGGCTCCCACACAGCTGTAGGACGGCTTTGGGCCGTCCTCGACTGCTTTCCCAGGCCACAAGCAGGGAGCTGGATGGGAAGCAGAGCTGTTGGGATTAGAACCGGCGCCCATATGGGATCCTAGCATATGCAAGGCAAGGACTTTAGCTGTTAGGCTACGACACTGGGCCCAGCATGAGGATTTTAAGGGACATATGTTTACTGGGAGAGGGAAAGGAATGTGAAGAGTGAAATGGAATGCAGTAATTTGACTCTGAACTAGGAAAATTCAGATTGGATCTGCTTGTAAGACCAGGCTGGTCAGTTTAAGGGAGGTGGGACTTATTTTTGTCACACAGAATGGAATAGCTTTAGGCTAGTGCTAGGACCATGGATGCTGTGACCTTAAAAGTAATACAGGAAAATAAGGACGCATATTCTGAGGTCAGTGAGTAAGGCAACCTAGATAGAAAGGTGATTCAAGGGGGAAAATGTTGCTAGGTGGTTAGATATAGGCTTTAGTATTAATGTGGGAACTTGACCTTTCTCTAAGCTTCCATCTTGAGTCCCTTTTCTTCCAGTTCACTGTTCGAGAGTCATCTCTAGGATGCTGCCTTTAACCAAGCTGGATGCTCTAGTGTGAATAATGTCATATACGTTTATACAGTGACTATTGCCAAAGAGAAGCATTTGTATCATTTAACGGGAGCACATTAAATGGCTGTTGTCCCCATTTTATAAAGTAACCTTGCTCATGTGCCTGGGAGGCTGTAGCAGCTGGCCCCAGAACCCCTGCCACCCATGTGGGGGACCTAGGTAGAGTTTTGGTCTTGAAAACTGACCCTCCCTGCCATTGAGGACTTGAACCAGCAGATAGAAACACTCTCAGGGCCCAGCACGGTAGCCTAGTGGCTAAAGTCCTCACATTTCACATGCCGGGAATCCCATATGGGCACCAGTTTTAATCCCAGCAGCTCTGCTTCTCATCCAGCTCCCTGCTTGTGGCCTGGGGAAGCAGTCAAGGATGGCCCAAAGCCTTGGTTCCAGCAGCCACATGGGAGACCTGGAAGAGACTCCTGGCTCCTAAATTCGGATCGGCTCAGCTCTGGCCGCTGTGGTCGCTTAGGGGTGTGAGTCATCGGATGGAAGATCTTTCTCTCTGTCTCTCCTCCTCTCTGTATATCTGACTTTCCAATAAAAATAAATAAATAATAATAAAAAAAAGAAGTACTTTCTTTTTTCTCCCCTTCTCTTTCTCTCTCTGCCTTTCAAATGAAATAAATCTTTAATCCAGAAATGAGAGACAGCTGTTCTACTCCAGGCTAGGTATTAACAGAGGATGGAGTGTAACATCCTGATCTTTATTTGCTAGTGTTTCATCAGTGAAAAGGGGACAGGCTGTAATGTTAAGGAAAAGTGAAGAACTTGAATTACTTCATTGTGGAAAACAAGAAGTGTAGATTGAAGTCACAGTTTATTAGGTTGTTTTCTTTTTTAAAATAGATTTAATTTTTCATTATTTGACAAAAAGAGAGGTGAAGGTGGGGAGAAAGATCTGGGTGCTGGTCCACAGTTACCCAGGGCTCAGCCAAATCCAAGCCGAGAACTTAGTCTAGGTCTGTCACTTGGAGACCCAACCACTGCAACTGTCACCTCTTTCAAGGTACCCATCAGCAGGAAGCTGGATTGGGGCAGGGCTGGGACTCTAACCGAGCCACTCTGACAGGGGCTGCGTGCTCCGAGCCAGCATCTGTACCCCTCACCCAACTTCCACTGGGAATTCCCTCTTCATGTGTATGTGGCAAATGTGTTCTCTTGGTCAGGCTTGCCCTCCTTTAGAGGAGATAAGGTATATATATTAAAGCTCCAGTGGGTTTTTAAGTTCTTTATCATCGGTATTTGTGTCATATCTAAGACTTTTAATTATCCAGCGCATAGAAGTTTTCTTCAATGTTTTATATTATTAAGATTTATTAGTTATTTGAAAATCAGAGCTCTTGAGAGCAGGAGAGACTTGAGATTTTGAATCCACTAGTTCACTTCCCAAATGGCTAAAACTGTCGTGTTTGGGCCAAGCCAGAGACAGGAGCTACTTCCAGGTCTTCCACATAGATGGCAGAGCCCTGAAACTTGAACCATTTGCCACCGCATGCCCCAAGCCATTAACAGGGAGCTGGCTCACACATGGAACATCAGGACAGGAACTGGCACCCGTATGGAATGCCAGCATCCAGGTGGTGTCTTTACTCTGCCACAACCTGGGTCTTTTCTCCTAAGTTTCTTCTTCTTCTTTTTCTTTCTTTTTTTTTTTTAAATATATTTATTATTTATTACCACAATACAATTTTTTATGTATAGGGGTTCTGCCCTTCTTTTTTCCTTTCTTCCTCCCCAGCCCCTGTCCCATTGCTGTTCTTCAAATTATCACAGTGATATAGTCGCATAGTAGTACTTATAGGATTAACTTTGTTCTGTCTAACTGTGTCAGGACACGGTGGGTATAGAAAAAGGTAGAAAATCTGCCATCATGCTGTATGGGTGTATTCACATGTTTCAGAATGGGAGTCCTGCTTTTATTTGGGAGAAGAGAAACATACTGCAACGTACTTTTACTTCCCAGTATGCTAATTTCCCTTGTACTGTTTCTCTGTGAGAGTAAATGTATGTTCTTAATTGTCTGTATCTGCACCTTTTTTTTTTTAAGGTTTATTATTTTTATTGGAAAGTCATATACAGAGAGGAGGAGAGACAGAGAGGAAGATCTTCCGTCCGATAATTCACTCCCCAAGTGACTGCAACGGCTGGTGCTGTGCTGATCCGAAGCCAAGAGACAGGAACTTCTTCCAGGTCTCCCATGTGGGTGCAGGGTCCCAAGGTTTTGGGCCGTCCTCGACTGCTTTCCCAGGCCACAAGCAGGGAGCTGGATGGGAAGTGGAGCTGCTGGGATTAGAACTGGTGCCCATATGGGATCCCGGCATGTGAAATGTGAGGACTTTAGCCACTAGGTCACGCTGCCGGGCCCGATTGTCTGTATCTATTTGGTAATTTGCCTAAAGACTGTCTTATTTCAGATGGAACATATGGTATTTGCCCTTTTGTACCGACTTATTTCACTCAGCATGATAATCTCCAATTAGGACCATGTTGTTGCAAACTGTTTTCTAATAAAAAATGTTATAGATTCAATTATGTGTATATTTCTCCAATCCATTTCAGATTATTTTTGCTTATGGTTTGTGGAAAACTCTGGAGTTTTTTTTTATCTGTGGCTCACATAGATATCCAGTTGTTCCAAAACTATGTGTTAAAAACTGCTTTCGGGCCCGGCGCGGTGGTGCAGTGCCCGGGATCCCATATGGGCGCCGGTTCTAATCCCGGCAGCCCCACTTCCCTTCCAGCTCCCTGCCTGTGGCCTGGGAAAGCAGTCGAGGACGGCCCTAAGCCCTGGGACCCTGCACCCGCATGGCATATCCAGAGGAGGCTCCTGGCCACTTGGGGAGTGAATCAGCAGATGAAAGTTTAAAAACGTTTTTTTTTAATTCTTTATGTTTTATTTTTAATAATGATTACATAGTTGAAAGGAATGCATAGCCATAGCCATATGGGCCTCTGATTAGGGTGTGGAGGGCCTTGGTGTGGATGAAGGTGGGTGGGACAAATTTTTAAATTTCTTTTTTTCTTCTGTGTCCCCAGGGGAAGCAAGGGAGGGGGCCAGTCCTTGCTTTCAAAGTACACCAGCACCTGGGGTTGGGGACAGATATTTTGGTTATTAGCAAGATCTCTTCACTAAGGGTAAGCCAGAACACGAGGGCCTGCAGCGTAGCTCATACTCCGGTCTCTACCTGAACTGGTGAGTTGGCCTGTAATCTGCTGTCCTGTGTCAGGCATCCTAAATTTGATCTCAGCTTCCTGACCTCAACAGGTCATGTCTTCTGCAGATACACAGTATTCATGCATCTGCCAGTTCACTCCACATTTGCTGGTGTTTATGTTAACACTCTGAAACTCACTTGTAGGTTTTCATTCCTTTAGTGGGAAGAACTTTTTTAAAAGCCCACAGTTTTCTTTAAGCAGTGGTTTTCCAGTGAAACTAGTAGTAGCCTCCTGTCTGTAATTCCTTCCAGTTGTATTACCAAAATGTTGCTTTTCAGTTTTTCAAAACAGTTTCCCTTCACTTTGCACCATGGTCTAGCAACTTTACTAGTAGCAGACATAAAGAAAGCCCTATAGAAGATCTTTTTTTAAGGCATGAGTGAACTTTGTTTGTAATAGCAATTTGTGTAAGGCAAATTCCTTTCCACAACCAATTGGGTAGTCTAAATAGATAGTGCTGTGGGAGTCAATATCTCTTTCCATTTTATTTTATATATTTTATTTATTCTGCTACAGAAAGATGATATGAAATTAATCTGTTAAGAGATTTTCATTTTATTTGCTTTTTATTTATTTAAAAGAAACCTGCATTTCCTGTTCACTGTCAAATGCCCACGATGGCCAGTAGGGTCTAGGCAAGGCTGAAGCTTGGAGCTGGGAATTCAGTCAGGGTCACCCATGTTATTGGCAGGGTCCTATGTACTTGAGCCATCACCTGTTGCTTCCCTGGGTGCACCTTAACAGGAGACTGGAATAGAGAGCAGGTGCTGATAGAGGATGTAGGAGTCTCAAGTGGTGTCTTAGCTGCTAGGCCAAATGCCCATCCCAAAAGTTTTGAAGTGTATACAACAGTGTTGTTGTCTGCAGACACGGTGTTTTTACAGGAAACTCCTAGAATTTACATGTCTTGTATAACTAAAATATTATACTCAATTAAAATAGACTTACAGAAACAAGGAGAAGGTGGGTGATAGTTTCAAAGTGAATAAAACTTGGCAATCACTGTAACTAACCTTGTAGTTATTTGCAACTGAACTAAAAAAGCAGTCACTTAATTATACCATGAGGTTTCCTGCTAATTTACACCCCTAGTACCCATTTTCAAAAAGGGAAAAAAAAGAAATGAAACTCCTAAGACTACTTCTTTGAAAACACTACCATCACAAACTTTCCAGAAGCTTAGGCCAAGAAAAGCACAGAGGGCAAGGTGTAGCTACAGAGGATGTCGTTTTTCCACTAAATAAGAACAATTTATGTAATTGGCAAAAAAGCATAGCGTTTCCTCACAAAGACAAGTGGTCATGTCAGCTATCAAGAGGGTCAGAATGGTGTCTTCAGAATGCCATCAATGAAGTCAGAAGCAAATGTGAGTGGGGGCATTTGCAAGAATCACTGTTACTCTTTAACTGACTCTTAATGTAAGTCTTCGTGTATCCAATGAATCCTACTGATCACTGCGTTTTTATTGTTCTGCTTGATTTGAGTTGGCATTTCCTGATACTCTTGCCCTCTTTTGCTGATGTTACCTGCTTACCCCTCCTGTGACCGTTTGGTAGCTCCATCACATCTGACTTAGCTGTCTTCCCTATCCGTTAGCCTTTCCTCCCTGTTAGGATTTCTCTCTCCCTTTTTTTTTTCCTCCTCTTTCTAATTCCTTTCTTTCTTCTTCACCCCCATCTCCCTTACTACTCCATGATTTTCTCAGGGCTGGGCTTCAACATCGTCGGCGGGACAGATCAACAGTATGTCTCCAATGACACTGGGATCTACGTCAGCCGCATCAAAGAGAATGGGGCTGCAGCCCTGGACGGGCGGCTCCAGGAGGGTGATAAGATCCTCTCGGTGAGAACTGGCTTCGGCCTCCTTCACTGTTTCTTTGCCCTTTAGACTATAAATCCTACCCTTGACCCTTCCTTGGGGGAAAATCCTGCCTGCTGATTCTTTGATCTAGAAATAACACTAATTGTGTTGTTGTATGAAACAAACTTTGATCAGTTGTTTCCAACCCTACCATTGGGCATGAATGATAGATATTATCCTCACCTGACGAAAAGGCAAGAAACCATGATGGGAATGAATCATTTCAGATTTAGACCCTTTTCCCCCCATTATGGAGGTGAAACATTGAAAAATTAACTGATAGGCCCACAAAGTTATGTTCTTATAATAAGTTACAATAAGCCTGGAGTGAATCTATAACTCTCCCGTTTCTTCATTTCTATTTCTTATGATTGGCTATAGTATCACTATGATATCAGTTGCAAGGGGTGAGGATTAGCTAAAGATTTTATTTTTTGTTATTGTTAACCTTCAGGACTTGCTGAAGATGGATAGCTTGAATAGAAACAGTACAGATGATTGGATTAAAGATCAAGTGTTAGAGGAGTGATATGTTATCGTGGGAGTTAGAGCTGACTTCAAAGGGCAAGACTTAAACAGAAGGAACTAGTGTGAGGGGTTCTCATGACAATAGCTCTGTCTTCTCTAGAGGAACTGTGATCAGAAAAGGAGAAAATTATTCTTTTCTTTTTTCTTTTTTTTTTTAAGGTTTATTTATTTTATTGGAAAGGCAGATGTACAGAGAGGAGGAGAGACAGAGAGGAAGATCTTCCATCCACTGATTCACTCCCCAAGTGGCTGCAACAGCTGGAGCTGAGCCAATCTGAAGCTAGGAGCCAGAAACTTCTTTCCAGGTCTCCCACACGGGTGCAGGGTCCCAAGGCTTTGGGCCATCCTCGACTGCTTTCCCAGGCCATCAGCAGGGAGCTGGATGGGAAGTGGAGCTGCCGGGATTAGAACCGGTGCCCATGTGGGATCCCGGCATGTTCAAGGTGAGAACCTTAACCACTACGCTATCGCGCTGGGCCCATCTTTTATTTTTCTTATGAATTGAATAGAATGGGAGGGCTAGATTGGAGAAAGGTAAAATAGGTAAATAACCTACATACTGAAAGAAGTCCTGATTGATAGAATTAAGTAGTAGTCTCAATACCTCCTTCAGATAGCTATAATCCCTTTAAAATATTCCTAGGACAGTTTGATTTTGATTTGTTTTTCATGCAGTTCAGTTAGATCTCCTGGTTGTCTTAGTTGCCAGCTTGCCCGACACCCTGCCCCCCCAGGCCGTTTGGACGCAGTGTATGATGGCAGAGGTACATAGGAACGCACAGAGAGAGCTTCTACCTTTTCTTCTTCTGGTGTCTCAGTGTTTGAGAGATCATGCCCAGGAGCATGATTCTCTGAGTACCTTCTCTAGGAAAGACAGAAAATTGGAAAAAGTAGCTGATAGGGCTACCTAAGTTTACTTAAAACTCTTTCTTAAGAATGGGTCCTAGCTGAGTATAAACAGATTGCAAACAGAATGAGGGGCATTTTTGGAACTTCTTACTGCTTTACCTTCCCTCAGTCTGCTACGCTTCTCCCAGATACTACTGATCATTTGTATCTGAAATGAAGACAGTGGCAATCCAGCTTTCATCTCAAAAGGATGTTTTAAAGTTAGATTATTTACCATAATTCCTAAGAGAAAGGCAACTTGGCCCTGGAGCAGTAAGGAAAGATAGAGAATCCGTTGTTAAAGGTATAACATATAGTTAAGATCTATGCATTTTAATATTTTTGCATATAATCACAATATATTTAGATCATTGTAAGAGTCTTCTTGGTTGAAGAAAAAGATTTAAATAGTATTGGAGTTAAGCGATCCATATTGTTTGAAAATCTTTGAAGGTAGGTTCTTGCAAAATGAGAATAGTAAGAAATGTTTTAAGCACTCAAACCAAGATAGTAAAATGCTAAGAATTTTCCATTTGTTTTTCTTAATGGTATAGTGACCCCATATGGTGAGTATGATTATTGTACTCATTTTGTAGCTAGGGAAATTGAGCCTCGCGGAAGCCAAGCAGCATGCATGAGGTCACACAATTTTTACGTGGTAGGGACTAAAACTTTGGTATATCTGCATTTGGAGCCCCTTCCTTTAGCTGGTATGTCATACTGCCCCCTAAAGGGTAAATGAGCTAGAATTATTCTAAAAAGAACATGGACTGGCAAACTGGCAACTTTACAGTGGATTATATGCATGGTTTTATATAAAAGTTGAAATTAGTTTTTCTGTAAAAATGTTGAGAAGAAAACAGGATATAAATGCTACTGTGAAAAAAATTTATTAAATATGGACTGAAATAAGGAACATTATGTGAGTGGTTGCCTCACAAAGAAATTATTGGAAGACTTGTCAAGTGTTGGAGACTTGGCGTGTCATGAAAAATGCTCTTGAGGGACGGTGTTAGACGGCAGAAGATGAATGTCAAGGATGAAGGGCACACATTGTAGCAGAGTAGGTCAGGCTGCCTCCTGCATTGTTGGCGTCTCAGATGAGCACTGGTTGAATCCGGCTGCTTAGCTTCCAGTCCTGCTGCCTGCTAATGCACCTGGGAGGGCGTGAAAGATGGCCGAGGTACTTGGGGTCCCTACCATCTGTATGGGAGAACTTGATGGAGTTTCAGGCACTTGGCTTCACTGTAGCCCAGCACAAGCTATTGTGACCATTTGGTGAGTGAACCAGCACATGGAAGATCTGTCTGTCTCATCTTCTCTCTGTAACTCTGCCCATCATGTAAATAAATAAATGCTTTTGCTTTAAGTCAGTGAAGAAAAAGCTAGTGTCTGAAAGCCTCAGTTTGGGACCAGCTCTCTGGTATAATGTGTAACGCCACCTCCTGCAGTGCCAGCATCCCATATTGCCACCAGTTCGAGTCACGGATACTCCACTTCATGTCCAGCTCCTGTGCCTGGGAAAGCAGCAGAAGATGGCCCAAGTAAAAAGTGGAGTGTCTGCAAGTGAAAAAGAAACAAATACTCTCTGTTTTACTAGGCCTGTTTGCTCTAAAATTAGTCTTTATAGCTCCTATTCCTTAGGAAATGTTATGAAACAACCTGTGTTTTCTCATCCACAGCGTATCTATTTTTTAAGTGAACCTGTCAGACTATTAACAGTAAATGGCCCCATGTACTTAGCTCATTTCCTTTTCATGTATTTGGTTTTTGACTTTGAAGTCCTTGTAAAATTATGTTTAATTATTTATTAGCCTATATTCATACTTTAGTGGACTTTTTCTCCTCACGTGAGCTATTTCTCTTTATTGTAAAATACACCTTTTTTTAAAAGTAATTTTTTGCTGAATAATCTATAAATGTGTCTCTCCCTTATCACTTCTGTTAGTTGCCATCTAAGGTGCTCGTCATAGAAACAGTATTCTTGTGTGTGTGTTTGTTAAAGCCAGAAGGCAGTAGCTTCTTCCAGGACTCCCAGGCACAAACCAGTGCCTGTATTGGGTGCTGGCACTTGGAGGGGAATGATTAGCCAGTTGAGCTATTGTTCCAGGTCCAGGGAAACATTAAAGATGGCCAACAACCAAAGTGAAAAAATAGTAATTTTTGTTTCCCCTCCAGTTAATTAAAACACCACCATGTGATTCAGTGAACATTCACAAGATTTTTTTTTTTAATTATTAGTTTTTGTTGGAAAGTCAGGTATACAGAGAGAGTGACTGCAGTGGCCAGGGCTAGACTGATCCAAAGCCAGGAGCCAGGAGCTACTTCCGGGTCTTCCATGTGGGTGCAGCATCTCAAGGCTTTAAGTCATCCTTGACTGCCTTCTCAGGCCACAAGCAGGGAGCTGGATGGGAAGTGGAGCAGCTGGAACCCATATGGGATCCTGGCACATGCAAGGCAAGGGCTTTAGCCACTAGGCTATTGTGCCAGACCCAGACAGCAAGATTTTCTAGCGTGTTGCCCTGTCCTGATTCAGCAACATTTATGTCATGATTAAGAAACCTAAAAATAGCAAGTTAAAAACTGTGAAATAACTTGGGCAGTGAAGTGAGGTGCGCACATAGGGCAACTGCGCTACAAGCTAGTTAGGGATGCAGAAGGCCAATCACTGGCTTATGACTCCATTAGATAAAGAACAACTAGAAAGTGGGAAAAAAGCTGTTTCAGGGGTACAGACAAAGACTAAAAATAAGTTCTCAAAATGTCCATCAGAAGTGAACTGAAAGCATGGCTTGGTAAAACTTTAGGAAAAATAAATAAAGGAAGAGGAGGGTGGCTAGGGGATGTGAACAGGTGTGAGGTGGGGGAATATTGCTCTACTTTTAAAAATCTTGTGAAATACATGAAATGTATACATTTCATGGGACTCAATTTTTTAAAAAACAAGCATGCAATCTCAGGCCTCTCTCTGACTTACAGAATCAAAACCTATGTTGTAAAATAACTTTGGTGAATCTCAGCATTTGAGAGCCACTATTTAAGCCAAATGTTTTTCAGACTTTCAAAATTATTACCCATATTTCAAAACGATGAATGATATTTTTATTCATCAATGATGGGAACATATCCACAAAAGTTTATTAACACAACGGTATCTTTTCAACCACTACTCCAGTAAATGGGAAATCAGTGATAAAATCCTTGGAGGCATGTTCTATCAATTAAATAGGGATGTGGCCTGCCAGGGAAGAGCAGTTAGCAGCCTGGTTCAGACAGCTTAACTTTAGAATCCCCTGGAGAGCTTAGTAAAAATACAGATTACTAGAATGAGAGCCAATCATTTGCATCCTTAAGGAGATGCCAGATGATGCTGACATTGCTGTCGAGGGCACTGCACTTCAAGACCTTCTAGTCTGTATTAGTAAACATGATCAGAATGGACTGTACAGACACTGAAGGGTACAGTCAACAGAGTTTGGTGGTTCTTCAATGGGAAACTGGAATCTGTAGAAATCCTCAGAGGAAGTAAATAGTGGAAAGCAAATTCAGCTTTGTAGAAGTGGTGTTGTAAAGAAGTTACAGTCATGATGAGATTTATGAGGCTCATTTACCTTGGCAAAGAATGGAAATGGTTCTTAAAAGAAGACATTCCTTTGCATTTCAAGAGATCTCTTATGTGAAGCTTGATTTTAATGAGTTTTATTAGTGGAGGGGGAACAGAGTGAGCTCCCATTTGCTGATTTACTCCTGAAGTGTCTGCGGCAGCCAAGAATCGCCCCAATGGAAGCCAGGGACTGAACCTAGGCCAGGTCGGCTATGTGGGGAGGAACGACCCAATCACTTGAACAAGTGCTTGCTTTTCCCCACGGTACATCACTCTGGTTTGGGGTGAAGGTATCCTCAACAGTGTCTTGACCGTTAACCCCAGTGTTTAATTTTTAAATAACAACTAGAGTATTTGTGTTACTATTGTAATACTTTTACATTTAACTAAGAGGCTGAAAGGCATACCTGGCCTGTGCCCTAGGTAGCACCTATTTTACCTTCTATCACCAATGTCTATTTATTATTGGTATTGTTTATGTAGTTTAGAGGGATGCACACTTTTGTGGGCCTCCAATCAGGGTGGGGAGAGTGGAGGTAAGAAGCAAGGTGGGTGGGACAGATGTTTCGATTTTTTTTTTCTCTCCTGTGTCCACAAGGGGGAATAGGAGGGGCCCTGTTCTTGCTGTGAAACCACACCAGCACCTGGGTAGTGGTAGATAGGATAGGTTGGAATGGAGGAAGATGTTGAGGAGTGTAGATCGAGAAGACAAATCAGTGATCCAGTTATGATTACCCGTAGCTGTTTTCATAGATAAGCAATAGGAAAGAAAATGCTCTATGAGAGATATCTGCCTTTCAAATAAATAGGTCTTTTTACATATAACTGTTGACACTGTGGACTGTATTTTAAAAACTTCGATTTTGGGGCGGGGCAGCGAAGGGGCGATGAGCTTTTGGCATAGCAATTTAGACAACATTTACGATGCCCACTTCCCATTTCGGGATCCTTTGGTTTGAATCCCAGCTTCCTTGACAGGCAGAGGTGATGGCACAAGTGTTAGGCCCCTGTCACCCATGGAGATGACCCAGATTGAGTTCCAGCTCCTGGCTTCTGTGTGGCCCAACCCTGACTCATGCAAGCATTTGGGGGAATGAACCAGCAAGTGCAAGCTCTCTTCCTCTTCCTCTGCCTTTCAAATAAATAGTAAATAAATACATTTTTTTTCCCCCCAAAAAAGTCCATGGTTCATAAAAAAAATGTAGTTAAGGGGTTAGCTTATTTTGATGCAGAACATTTTTTATATCCATGCATACTTTTGGTAACATCTTTGATGAGCTTTTAAAAACTATTACCCTTTAGCTTGGATTTCAATATTTTTACACCAAAATTTCTCTTTTAACTTTGTTTTTCACAAACTTTTTTGTAGTATCCCAATTATAATTGCCAGAATAAAGTTTTACAAATTATAAATTTTAGTCTAAAGGAATGATAGTAGAAACTAAAGTCATCATGTTTTGGTTTTACAGGAACTTGTAAAGAAGCTTTTGACATATTGAACTAAAAAAGATTTAAAGGAATATTCAGGAGTAGATGTTCAACAGAAATTGGCAAATAAAAACTTTTTTATATATTAACTTAGAGATTATGATTGAGAATGTGAAAAACCACCATCTAAGAGAAGAAGATTGAGCAGTGGCAAGTCAGGACCGTTTCCTTTCCTAAGGAGGAGGAAAAGGAAGAGGAATTAGGGAAATAGTTTAAGCACTAAGAGAACTCAGTTATAAGCCAGAGTAGCTGAAAATTACAAAAGGGGGAGAGAATCTGAGAAAGGACTGCATACCATTTGGTGATTGGACGTCACTGCTGAGCTTCACGGGTGTCTGTTCTTTCCACACACCTACGTAATGTACGATTACAAGGGAGTGAGCAGTGGATGGGTGCTGAGGAGGTGAAAGCGGCGCATGTGAACAGTTTTGTAGAGAAAAAGGAGAGAAGATGGGAAGAGGGTAAAAAGAGGTTCCAAAAAAATTTGTGTTTTTTTTTTTTTTTTCTTAGAAGAGGATGGTTTTAAAGAATAATTAAGTAATCAAGCAAAAACTGAATTCTGTAAGGATGAATAGAAAGGATGTGATGAAGAACATTCATGGATACTTTATTCTTGATAAAGAAAGTACCTGATTTGGAGAAGGAAATGAACAGTGCACAGATACCCTAAAACTAAGGGAGTAGGGAAGAGGACATCAGAAGTTGCAATCTCAAAAAGTGAAACAAAGGAGTCTTGAGGGAAGAGGAGTTGAGGTTTCAGTTGGGTGATGGGAAAAGATCTGGGCCAGCTGTTAGTGGGGTTGTAGGGAGTTTCTTAGATGAATGGAGACCTTTTAAGGGTAACTGGAGTCAGTTAGCTTGAATCCATGGTAGAGAGTGTGATTGTATCTTTCTCCAGGAATATCCGACTCAATGGTGGCAAAGAAAGTAGATGCAGTGTATTGCCAAGCACTGGAAAGATGGCAGAAAATCATGGGGACAAGGGACTCTAATGATTTACCAAGGGCTTTGTCGCAGTAACAACCAGAGCTCCTAGATGGGTAAGAATGCACATTAAGTACAAAAAGATTAAAGCTTTGATGAGGATAAAAGAATTTGGTTGAGGTTTGGAAAGTGTGAAAAGAATAGGGATTGTAGTTGGATTGATTCTGTAGATAGAACATATTTAGTAAAGACATTTGCTGACTGAAGTGGAGTTCAAAACCATTTGAGAAGAAAGACTTTTATAGGTAAGAAATGTTGGTAGACCAAGGATATCAGAAGGAGAGAAGAGTGGAGGGAAGCATATGAACTCATGGAAACGGAAGATTATGACAGGGAAACTAAGATTGGAAAAGCCAAAGGCGTGAGCTTTAACTGCACTGATAACTGTTGAGTCTCTGTGGAATAGTAGTGTAGACAAAACAGTGAAATGCCAGCACACTTTGGTCTTTCTCCATTATTTAGAAACCCTAGGCCCACCAGCTCTTATGTTCACTAATCTTACTAAACTTCAATTTCCTTATCTTTAAAAACAAGATAAAAATAGTGTCAACCTCATAGGATTATTGTGAGAAATAAGATGATGTATGTACAACAGATCCTACCAAAATAGATAAATCAGATGTCCTTGCTACTGTTCCTGTTGATGACAGCATTGACATGTGTGAAAGATATGCAGTCTTGCACCAGATGGCTGGTTGTGTCCATGAGTGTGGCATAGGATCACTACCACCTCTGGGCAATGTCTCCTAATATCAGAGTTCTACTATCCATGTCCCTTCGCATGTCTCACCTCTATATGATGATAGGAGTGACCTACGTTGAAATTTTTTAAGGATTTTTTTTATGACAGAACTATGACTTTTAGTAAATGTGAGGAGGATAGAAATGTACATGTAACCATGGGAAATAATTCACAATTGAATAAGCACTAGGTGCCCACATGGGTGTGCATCACATTGGAGTAAATTGTGGGAGAATTTTGTGGTGGTTCATTTCTAGAATTGAAAATGGCAGTTAGGGGATTCAAAACACAAAGAATAAGATGATAAACTGGAAGATCATGTTAGCTGTAGGGGAGCAAGCTAATAGGGAAGATTAAAAACAACAACACGTTAATGAGTCAAGGCATAGAAGCTAAGAGAAAGTAGAAACTGTTTTAACATAGGATACCTTTAGCTAGCCCATGGAACCTCAGTTCTAGGAAAACATAGCTTTGAAAATGAAAAAGTCACTCTAGGTTCCAGGAAGCCTGATTTGTACTCCCTAACTCTTGAAACATGCCCGATGGGAGTTAGTTTTTTAAATGTCTGACTGCGTGAAAAATGGACTGTAGACTTACGAGAATTAACTAACCTTCTGTCTCTTACTATTCCCCCTTTCTGTATTTGACAGGTAAATGGCCACGACCTAAAGAACATCCTGCATCAGGATGCTGTTAACCTCTTTCGTAATGCAGGGTATGCCGTGTGCCTGAGAGTGCAGCACAGGGTAAGTGTCGCTTGGAGCTCGAGACCTGGCATCTGACCTTTGCACCATTCTTGAGATTAAACGCCATGGGTGTCATCTTCAGGGGCACATGTATAGTTGTTCATTTTTCCCTTTTACTCCCTCTTTTTTGAAGAACTTACCTAACACTACTGTACTTCTGCTCATCATTTTTAAAATATATTTATTTTTATTTAAAAACCTTTTACATTTCTTATTTTATTTTTAATTTTGTTTACCTTGTTGAGAGGGATGCACGCCCATGTGAGCCTCCAGTGAGGATGGGGAGGGTCAAGGCATAGAGGAAGGTGAGTGGACAAATGTTTCAGATCTTTTCTTTTTATTTTCCTGGTCTGCTGGGTAGGGAGAGGGGACTGCTGCTTGCTGCCAAACTACATCAGCACCCAGAGATGGAGGACAGACATTTCATTATGCCTTAGAGACCCCCATGTGGAGAAGGATGTTCTGAGGGTGTTACTTGAGTAATTTTGATAGTTCTTGAGTAGGCGTTGATTTAATTGCTCCAGCATTGAGAAGATCTTCCGAAGGTTGCTTGGCTGAGAAAGTCCAACTGAGGGCATCTATAGACCCAGACACTTGCTGCAAAGCTTGGCCAGCAGAGTTGTCCGATCTGTTCTACTTTCTGTCCTCTAATGAAGCATTCAACATCCTCTGCTGGCCTAGATGAGCTGCCTGTCATGTCCCCCATGTGCATCTGGGCATGCCCTCTACTGTACAGGCATCAGCAACTGAGGAGGTCTAGTCCCAATACATGCTCTCCAAAGTCAGACCGCTTATACTGTGATTTTCCCTTAGACCAGGGTTTGAGTCCAACAATCTAGTTGGGGAGTGCCCCAAGAAACTTTGCCTGGGGTGACCTCAGACTTGAATCTGTGTGCACCAGCCGCTACAAGATCCAATTCGGTTCATCCCCTGTACCACCCAGTGCATATACCAGTGAATATATCTGCCTAGACAGTTCTGCCTCCACCCCTATCTCTCAGGCTGATGGATGCTGTGGCCCAGGGCTGCTAGCCAAGCGCAGGCCCAGTCTTCACGCATATCAGCGGTGCCACAGGAAGTTCCAATAATCCCTGTAAGGCCAGACCCCATCCTGTTTTTGCATGGGCCAGCATGAGCTGCTGACTAGCCCAGTGCACCCCTCATTCAGTCTAGCTATTGTGAAAATCCACAGGTGCTACAGCTTAGCTCAGCCTGATCTGCCCCCAGACCTACCCCATACACATGCCTTGGGTGCCATCACCTTGCCTAGACTGGTCCGCCACTAGCCCTGGCTCTTGTGCTCACCTGCAGGAGTTTCAGCCTAGCAAAGAGTGTCCATGGTTTCCCTACCAGGCTCGCTTCTAGCCCCAGATCTAAAGTCCTCGCCTTGCACGCACCGAGGTCCTATATGGGCGCTGGTTCTAATCCCAGCAGCCCCACTTCCCATCCAGCTCCCTGCTGGTGGCCTGGGAAAGCAGTCAAGGATGGCCCAAAGCCTTAGTACCCTGCGCCTGCATGGGAGACCCAGAAGAGACTCTGGTCTCCTGGCTTCGGATCGACTCAGCTCTTGCTGTTGGGCAGTTGGAGAGTGAATCAACAGATGAAAGATCTTTGTCTCTGCTCTCTGTTTCTGACTTTGCAATAAAAAAAAAATGCAGGTATTTGCCTTAAGGTAATATATTAATGGGGGGAAATATAGAAGCAGCTTAACCTTTTGGTAGTGGAAAGATCATCTCTTGAAACATAGTAATAATTCCTAAAACTTTACCAATAGGGGCCCGGCGCAGTGGCGCAAGTGGTTAAAGGTCCTCGCCTTGTACGCCCGGGATCCCATATGGGCGCCGGTTCTAATCCCCGCTTCCCTTCCAGCTCCCTGCCTGTGGCCTGGGAAAGCAGTCGAGGGCGGCCCAAAGCTTTGGGACCCTGCACCCACATGGGAGACCCAGAAGAGGCTCCTGGCTTCGGATCGGCATAGTATCGGCCCGTTGCGCTCACTTGGGGAGTGAATCATCGGACGGAAGATCTTCCTCTCTGTCTCTCCTCTCTGTATATCCGCCTTTCCAATGAAAAAATAATAAAAATAAATCTTAAAAAAAAAAAAAACTTTACCAATAATAGTGGTGAGATTTCTTTTTTGATGATTGATTGCTTGATTTGGAAGGCACACTGACAGAGATCTACCATCCATTGGTTCACTCCCCAGGTGACTTAATGAGCTATACCACAACACAGACCTTTGATCTTCCCTGTCCCATGTGTAAATCCTTCTCTCAGCAACTTAGTCACATTCTTAACCAAAGCTCTCAGAGGAGCTCTTAAGAAAAACGACGTGGAATTCAGAACTCAATCAAGACTTCGTCCATCTCTGCAGTACATCTTATGTTTCGGTGTTTTAGAGTTGACCTCATAGGAGAGGAAGAATGGGTAGATATAGTTTCTCACTGGTACTGAGGATCCTGAGTGTATTCACAGCACAGGTTCTGTGTACCTGTAACATTTTTTCCTGCTCAAATTGGTACACTTTTTGTCTCATTCATTGGCTAAGCGGAGGTTCAGATGCTGAAAAAGATTGAAATGAAATAGTGGAAAAATGTAAAAGGCAGGATGAAAGAAGGATATTTATGAAAATAGCCAGAGTAATAAACAGAATCTGGATGTGATGGGTTACAGAATGTTTTGCCAGGTGGCAGTGTTAGCCATCAGCTGTTTCTGTCTGGGCTCTTCTCCATTTTTAAAACAGGAGAATTTATGCAATAGATAAGGTAAGTAATTATAGGCATGCACTTTGAACATGATTAAAGTTAATATATGTGCTGCCAAAGCAAGCACAAAGTTACTTTTAAAGGTATATAGGAGTGGCTTCCAATATTCATTTGTTAGGAAGCTTCTGTAAACAGCTATAAGCAAAGCAGATTCTTTTGGTTATGTAGCTGGCTCAGCTGTAAGAAGTATGTCTTCTTTTTCAGTATGCCAACTTAGGGCATCTTACCCAGAAATGAATGAAAGATCTAGAGATGGAATAGAGGGCAATATAATTCTAACAGTCTTAACCTTTTAAACTGAGAGATCAGAGTTTCTAAAGTATAATGGCACAGTGATTATAGCAAGTTGGCCTTAGCCTATTAGGGCTCAGCGCTATAGCCTAGAGGGTAAAGTCCTCACCTTATATTTGTCAGGATCCCATATGGGGACTGATTCATGTTCCGGCTGCTCCACTTCCCATTCAGCTCCCTGCTTGTGGCCTAGGAAGGCAGTCAAGGGCAGCCTAAGGCCTTGGGACCCTGTACCCTCATGGAAGACCTGGAAGACGCTCCTGGCTCCTGGCTTTGGGTCAGCTTAGTTAGCTTCGGGAGTGAACTGGAGCACTAAAGATCTTTCTCTGTCTCTCTGGAAATTTGACTTTTCAATAAAAATAAGTTTTTTTAATTGATATTAAGCCATCCTGGGAAAAAGTGATTGAAATAAAAAAAAATCAAGTTGATTTTCACATAGTAGAAAGTTATAGCTGTCAATGTATAATTTCTTTTCTGTCTTTTTTTTTTTAAGATTTATTTATAGTTTTTATTGGAAAGGCAGATTGACAAAGAGAAGGAGAAACAAAGATCTTCTCTCTGCTGGTTCACTCCTCAAATGGCTGCAATGGCCAGAGCTGCACTAATCCAAAACCAGGAGCCAGGAGCCACCACTGGGTTTCCCAAGAAGGTGTAGGGTTTCAAGGACTTTGGACCATCCCCTGCTGCTTTTCCAGGCCACAAGCAGAGAGCTGGATTGGAAGTGGAGCAGCCAGGACTAGAATCAGTGTCCTCATGGGATGCTGGCAATTGCAGGTGGAGGATTAGCCTGCTAACTTGGCCCTAATTTCTTTTGTTTATGTGAGTTTTTTTTCCTCTGTTCTATGTAGGTTTCACCTTGACTAGTGTTATAGATTAGGAAATGAAGAACAGGAGCCTGTGTAGGACAGAGTGCACCTTTGAGAATTGAAAACATTTCCAAGTGAACGTATCACACCTGCATTGACATTGCTTGGATCTTGTTGTGTTCTGACGACAGATAATCTTTCCTAGTAAATATTTCCAGAAAGATAGACCTTCCTCCTTGTAATATCCGCATCCCCCATATAATCAGTAGCTTTCATCTCCTGTCTTCCTTTTCCTGATACGATGTACACGTAGTGAGAAGGAAGCAGTACTGAGTGAGGCTACCTGACTTGCACTGAGGAGCCCCTTTAGATCGGTAGTGCAGCAGAGTTAAATGTCACCACCCCTTCAGATGTTTTTCCAGAAGAATCTATAAGACTGGTGCATCAGGACAAAAAAAAAACAAAAAAACAAAAAACACCTTCTGCTGAGCAGTGCTTTGGGCTTAGAGCTTTGGGTGATCCAGAGTCAAGGTGAACATTTAGTTGTGGGAAACAGATCAATCACTGGAGTTAATCGTTTTCTTGCTCTTCCAGTTACCGGCGCAGAATGGACCTCTTGGACACCGAGGTGAAAGGGAACCAAGTGGCATTCCCATGGCTGTGGTGCTGGCACCATTGTTTGCCCTCACTGTGGTCGCAGCCTGGGCGTTTGTAAGATACCGGCAACGACTGTGAAAAAACTTGTTCCTTCCGGTGCTCCTGTTGAAGATGCGTTTCTCTAGCCCTTCTCCCCTGTCCTCCCTTCTGTCCCTTGCTCTACATAGCCAACACTAAAGTGACCAGTGCCCATTCACAACCTTGCTGCTGCAAGTCTTCAGATTTTTGTGTTTTAATGGCAGAGTAAAGGTATTGTTTGAAGGAAAGTTGAAGAAAAGATTGCTTAAAACAGAAGAAGAGAGACCTACTTTACTAGACCTGCTAGAATGCTCAGCTGCCACCCAAAGAGGGAAGGTCCCGTCTTCGTGTCACCATGGTAACTTTTTCTGAGCTGGCATGCCTTGACTGCCAGTTGTATGAAATGATAGGAAGGAAGGAATTTTCTTCCTAATGATCTTCCTGGGGAAATTTTGTGGCCTTTAATTCTAACTATGTAAGTGGGTGCCTATATCAAACAAAGGAGACTGAAAAGAGCATTTTTATTTTTTTTTTACAAAGCAAATATATATTATAAAGTACATATACATATGTATATTTGATAGTGTAATCGTGATGCCTTATGGAGAACTAAGGAGGTGAGGCAGCTGCTCTGGTTTCAGTTTCTGATTTAAGGAATGTCCTTAGTTGAAATATTTAAAGAAATATCTGTAAGCATGTATAATGGGAACCCAGGGAGTGAGCCTTTAAATGATGCCCACTCTGGGTCATTAAAATATAGGAACTCAAGCAATCAAAATTAGAAGAACAAGATTCCTTCTAATAGCTGTGGTGAAAAAAAGAAACAGAGCTTTAAGGCATAAAGATAAACAGTATACTAACCTCAGGGCTTCACTTTTGATGTTTGTGATACCTCACGGGGCTGGGAAAATATCAGCTGGAGTGCTTATGGTCAGGGCTGTGGCAACACAGCCAAACCAACCCAGCAAAAAAAACTGCAAGGATATAAGACAGTGCCTTCAAGAAGGGTCCCTGAAGTCTCTCAGGCTCCTCTCCAGCATTTTAAAGTTCTGGTGCCAGGCAAAATGTGGGAGAAGGAACTGCTTTTTCAGCAGGATGGATGTGAACTCAGCGCTGCTTCTGATTGGATCCAAACAGGAGGGCCTTGTTGCTGACCTATAGTTCTAAACACTAGTGGTGAACTTCCACTTATTAACTGTTTCTCAGGAAAGGGGAGGAAAGAGTTCACTGGTGTTTTAGAGTGTAGGGAACTTTGGTAGGTGTTTCATGGGGGATCTGGAAGGCAGGTACGGATTCCAGAGGATGCCAACGTGGTTGTTGAGGTGAGAACCATCATGTGCTTGTGGTAGCTAGGTTGGTTTTAAAGCACGGAGGATAACTGAACCAAGGTTCATGTTTTGGCTTTAAGAAAATCATTTGAATTATCCAACTATACTGGTCAGACTCTAAGCCTTGTACCATTTTGACAGCAACATTACAATAACTTTATCTCAAAGAATCTGGCAGTCATTTGCCAAATACTGTTTGGAAATTACCTTTGCCAAGACACTTTTACAAAAGGCTAAAATGCAAAGCCTCCATTCTAAAAGGCTTTTTAATTCCAGTTGGAAAGAGGATACTTAAAATGGAGTTAGTCATATAGACAGGGCAGTGTGTGTCAGTATTAAATTTATATTGCAGATAGCAAAAGAGAGAAGTTACTGAGAATTGGGGCACTTGAAAAAGTTTCACAGAGAAGGAACAAGTTAAGACTCTTGGGAATTTCCCATTTTAAGATAATTTATAAGCTGTTCACTCATAATATTTAAAAACATCAGATTATGTAATAATTGTAATCAATACTAGAAAATGGTTTCATGCATGTATGATGCAGCAACAAAGAAGATACACAGATGACCATCAATTTTTTAGGAAGTCAGAAGAAAACTTTCATAATGATATCAGACTACATTGGAAAGGACACGATTCTGAATAAAAAATTCAGTAAGACCCTGTTCTGGGCCAGCTATTGGTATAGGGAGAAACTTGCTTTCAACAAGGCGTGATGTGACCCCTTTGACCCGAGCTGCTCAGTCAGATGGACACATCTAGACTCTGTAAAGAAATGTGTCCCCCGTGGAGGTACAGCCTCTGGCCCTTCCCCTTCCCCCCCAGTCCCGTCTCTGAGGACATGTGCAACACTACACACAGAGGGCGTGATAACCTTGCAGGAAGTCACTCAGGGTTTGGACATTAACTCCCAAGAAAACTTTTGTTTGTGAATCAACGTGGTAAGCAGGAGAGGGGGCTATTTAATGTTTTGTTTATTGGTATATGTAAACTTAGAGAACTATTCCATCCGTAGTAGAAAGGTTTTCTTTGGTTGATAATGGATTCTGACGTACTTGGATGATTTAGATTTTCTTTGAAGACCAAAACATTGTTTGAAGCAAATAGATTATTTGGTTTCTTCTGATTCTATGAAAAAAAATCATACATGAGGTATGAGAATCTATTGCAGGTTGAAACAAAAAAACCTCATGTTATTTATAGATTGACTTATAGATTCTATCTGATGTTCTTACCACCTAAATTATTATGTTCAGTTTCTGAAATTGAATTTTTAAGAGCTGATGCTTAAAAACATTTCTCTGTACTTATTTTGTTTGTTTAAATAATTCCAATAAGATACTGTTTTTCCAATTTTTTCTACACTTTTAACTTCTGTACTATTGATTTAACATAATTCCACCTTCTAGCCATGTGTGATGAAAAAAGGAGTTTGATGTTTGTTATTGCATGCTGCACCAGAAACTTTACCAAACCATACTTGTTCATACCTCATAACTCAAAATGAGACCTAAGACCTGATGTAAAGATCAGACAATAAATGACTTTCCTAAGATTTCATTGGTAGTAATGATGAGATAAATATTTAAACTCAGTTGCCAGCATCAATAATATTCCCTCCCTGATACTGGTGCTCAAAGCAAAGTAAGTGCACAAGGGCATTGGCATCACCTGAGAAAACAGCCTGGGCTTCCATCCCAGACCCGAGTTGGAAGCTCCGAGTGTGGACTAGTGCCATGTATTTGTCCTGATCTCTCCAGGTGACTCTAACTCCTAGTAGGTTTGAGATTCACAACTCTGCTGTTGGTTCCTGCCTTTTCTTGGATAAAATTACCTGGAACACTGGTAGAAGTCCTGTGCCCGGGCTGCATTGCAGATCAAATCAGATAGGACTCTCAGACAATAGTAGAATAAAGCTCATTCCATTGTGCAACCTCATTTGAATACATTCTGTGGCATTTAGACCTAGATGCTGTGTACATTATTAAAAGAGACATGACTACAGCTCACATGAAGAACTTCAGAGCCCAGTTCTTGGAGCCATTTCTCAAGTATAGAGATGGAGTAAGAAGTGGAATATCCTTTCTTTAACTCCTCATTTGTTAAGAACAGTAGATCTCTGGCATAATACATGACTGCGCTTCAGTTTGTGCAACTGTTAAAGTAAAACTGAGTCACAAAGAACAAGTTATGCAGGGACCAGAAATGATTCTGTGTAAGAAGAAAAGTAAGGCTTACAGATGTGACATAATTTAACCATAGTCAGCCTGTTGCGTAGTTGGCTTAGGTTTATATTTTAACTGTATCCACAAACCAATCATTTTTAAAATTTCAGTTCTTGATTTGATCTTTGAATAAAAGAACTGATCGATACATGAAGGGTATAGCAAACGTGATGATTTAAATTGGGAGATTTCCACTCAACATTCTGAGACAAAGGCCTAATGTGAAATCCTCTCGTATGGAAGTGCTGAGATTAATTCCAGAGACATGTTTTCTGAGAGTAGATGTGTGTCAGTGAGCAACCTAAAATATCTATTTAAAGAAATGAAACACTTAGAGAAATATGAATGTATAGAAGTAGAGTTAATGTAGATCAATGGCATTTTATCTTTGGACAAGGGAGCGTTTTTCCCTTTCACTCAGCAGACAGTGCGTGAGTGCCAACTGCCTGCCAAGCGTTCAGGATACAAAAACGGGAAGATGGTCATCTTCAGCTCCACCATCTGAAAATGGGTAATCTTAATGTTGAGATTTTGTTTTCACATCTAGAGGTGGAAAATTGAATTCTGAATTTCTGCCTTGCATCTACAATAGGTATACAGTTGGCTGCTATCCTAGGTTAGATTCAGATTGCTTTCTTTTAACCGCGGATCTTTTCTAAAACCAGCACGAGCATTGAAAGGGCAGTTAGGAGACAGTTTATAAGGAATTCTGGTTGGAACCACACTCTAGACTATCATCAACTGCTTTATGTTATTGCCGTCTACTTACAAAATGCACAGCACTCGATCTGCTTACCTGATGTGCTTGATAACATTAAAAAATTATGTTAAAGCATTGCTGCTTCTAAAAATCAAGTTGTAGCAAACACTAGTGCCTGTTCTAAAAGCTCTGCTTGCTCTCTGTTCATGTTCTTGTTTTAAAGAGGGAAAAGAAAGAGGAGAGGGCTGAAGTCCATTTTCAAAGGCAAGTTAGTTATTAGCCAATAGAGTCGTGTACAGAAGAGATTTACATTTGCCATACTTGTCAAATTCATTGGCTAATTATAGAAAATAGGATTATCCCTTGTTTACAAGTTTGCAAGTTGAGACACCACGTCTTATTTTAATCCTTTTTTTCTGAAATACTGATTGGAATATAAGCCTTTATTACTTGATATATGTGCATTTTTGCTCCAGGTCATGTCAACTTTCGTAAGAGTCCTTTTCTTATGAGCCCTTACTTCATACTGATTTCTTTCTACCTTGTTTCTAAAGTCACATTGCATCCCTGGATGTGAAGAGCAGTCTGTTTCGAAGATCAAATAAGCGCCTTATAGCAACTTGGAAGTCAAGTAGACACAAAACCATATAATCTAGGGAATGTCACTGTAGGTTAAGTATGGTAACAAACCATCAAAGTCCGCTACAATCTCAAACTGTATTATTTAATACCATTTGCAACATTAATGTGCCTAGCCAGTGTTA